TAAATGAGTGGGCCTGATAGAATTGCACATACCTTCAAAACAAAGCATAAATATCTAATCAGCAGATACTCAATTGAAAGCTGAACAGAATGCCTTTCTAGTGCTATATCATCCGTGAGCATAACAGCAGCCAATCTGAAGATGGAAGGACAACAGTGAAAATTAAGATGACTGAAAACTTAATTGCAACAATTATTGGTTAAACAAGGAATAAAAAGTGTCATAACTTCAACAAATGCTAAACGATACATTATTCAGATGAGAGTATATTGTTGGCCAGATTGGATATAGTGGAACATGATGAAATGCAAATGTTTGAAGTGTTTTGAAATCATTCAATTAATTTGATAAATATTAATCACAAATACAGCACTCTGATTGGCCATGAATATTTGCACTTATTTGGATCAGCCATCTGTCAGATTCACACTCTGATTCAAACCCAGCACTCTATGTGCATTAGCAAAAATAACATTTTCTGCACTAAAAGCAGGATGTTTTGAGGCCACAGAGCCTCAGAAGAAAATTTTGGAGGAGTGGGATTGAGATCAGCTCAAAGTACTTGGGTAAGAGGGCCATTTCTGGCAGGAACAATTTCTGAGGTCCTGAGATTTACTGGTACTTTTATGAGATTGTTGTGATATTTGTTGAAGCTACATGCAGCTGCTGTTGAAGAGAACAATGATGATGTTCAGATGGACATGCTTGTTACCTTCTAGACCAATAACAGGTTCATATTGATCACAAACTCAGAATGCAGATAGCCATCACTTTTATACAACTGTTATTATATAATCATTTTTAATAATTTACAACTTTAATAATTTTTATCATCCCTCTCATACTTCCATGACTACAATCATCTTCAACAACATTTTTTATAACTTTAACAATTTTTATCATTACTTTATTTGAATTATTTTTAGAAAATTCATTTTACTATTGAAATTATTTGTACAATATTAATTGTTATCATTACTTCATTTGAGTTATTGTTTCAACAGCAAGTTTGTACCATCACTCTTATACAACTCGAACTATAGTTATCTTTTACAACAGTTGTTTTTACAACTTTAACAATTTTTATCATCACCTTATTTGAATTATCTTAAATCTTGAAACTTTTTATCTTTACTTTTTCAACTGCAAGTTTTTATCATTGCTCTTATACAACCATGAGTACATAATTATCTTTAATATCAGTGGTTTTAACAACTTCAACAATCTTTATCATCACTTTATTTGAATAATTTTTACAACACTAAAAACTTTTTATGTTCATGTTTTCAACAGTAAGTTTTACTGTCAGTGTTATACAACTATGACTATATTATAATCTTCAACAACAGTTGCTTGCACAATTTTAACAATTTTTATCATCACTTTATTGGAATTATTTTTACAATTTTCAAAACCTTTTATCATCACTTTAACAGCATATGTTTACCATCACTGTTATTCAACCATGATTATAATCATCTTTAACAACAGAAAAGTTTTAAAAGAACTTCAACACTTTTTATCATGACTCACATATTACGATGACTATCATGTTGAAGACAATGGTCAACTGACTACATCATTTATATCTTCTGACTTTCAGCATGTCAATCTGAATGCAGCACAAAATGACTGTAGAGCAGTACAGTTGAGGATGTCTAAGCTCAAGTGACTGAAAGCTTATGGGCACAGCAGAATAATGATCTCCGTAAGCTACTTGCAATCAATGGTTGAAGGTATCCAGCAGCTAAAAATGTTTCTCAAGCCTGTTCAAAAGCTTGCTGACCCCAAATGTCAATGCTGCCACTGGAAGATGAATGATGACACTTCCTTGGCTGTCATTTTTACCAGACAGTAGATAAGGACAATGAAGATTTGTTAGCAGCCTCATGTATGAAAAAGGTGAAGTATGAGGCAGCAGCATTAGGGCTTGAGATTTTGACCTAGATCTTATTGTTGATCCAATAGACCAGTTCTTCCATGACTCAACTTCAGCACCGTCATCTATAATTAGCACTAATTTTTCTCATCTGACTCTGACTCAATTGACCCCTTCATTGTCGATGCAGCATGCATCAATCACTCCCTCAAAAGTGATAAGTGATAGAAATGCTACACCTGGGCCTTCGAGATCACTCACCATTCATATTTCAAGATGATTAGCCAATGAGCAAAAGCTGATAATCCCACTGCCTCTCTCTGTCTATATGCAGAAAACATTTAAATGGACCACAGTTTGACCTCTTGCTGAGGAGGAAAAAGAAGCATCATTCTCAATGGAGGTATACTTATTTAACTTCTATAATGACTTTCACTCTCCTCACTATAAGTATTCCCATCCTCATGGTTGCTTGCATGCCAATGCATCTCTCGTGCAGTGACATTGATCTGCTACAGCCTCAAAAGTTGCTATGTCCCAGGTCCCTATTTTGATAGGATGGCCGTTGTATGGTCTGTATGGATACAAGGTAAAAGAAGGTAAACATAACATATGTGACACTATGTTACTGCTTCTGTGATACTTTGTCTAACTTTTGGCTATACTTAACACTAGTTTCACTGCTGCTGACATTGAAAACCTCACACATGCCATTGATTCATTAAATGATTGTTCATGAGTTAGTAATCTAAAAATGGTTAAAGTTGTAAAAACAATTGTTGTTAAATATTATTGTATAATAATAATTGTATACAAGTGATGGTACAAACTTGCTGTTGACAAGGAGAAGGTAAAAAAATGTTGAGATTATAAAAATAACTCAAATAGAGCAATGATAAAAATTGTTATTATAAAGACAATTCAAATAAAGTGATAATCAAAATTGTTTTAGTTTTTTAAAAACATTTTGTGATCAAAGATGATTATACTCATGATTGTATAACAGTGAGAGTAAACACTTGCTGATGAAAAGTGAATGTACATAGTTTTGAGAATTATAAAAATAATTCAAATAAAGTGATGATCAAAATTGTTTTAAAGTTGTAAAAACAACTGTTGTTAAAGATGATGATATAATGATGGTTGTATAAAATTGATGGTAACAACTTGCTATTGAAAAAGTAAACATAAAAAGCTTTAACATTGTAAAAATAATTTGAATAAAGTGATGATTAGAATTGATATTGTAAGAATAATTTAAAGAGAGTGATGATACAAATGGTTTAAGTTGTTAGAAAAACTGTTGTCGAAGATGATTATAGTGAAAATTGCATGAGAGTGATGATCAAAGTGTTGAAGTTTTTGTCATGGTCATATGAGAGTAATGGTGTAACTTGCTGTTGAAAAAGTGAAACATTATTCATTCAATAATAATATAAGATGGATGCATGATTGTAGAAAATTTTAAATGTAGTGATAATAAAAGTTTCATATCGTCAATGATGATTATAGTCATGGTTGTGTGAGAGTGATGGTAAATAATTGCTTTTGAAAAAGTTAAGATAAAAAGTTTTAAAAGGTGCAAGTATTTTTTAAAAATAAAACAATTATAGATACGTAATTACATAGATTCTCAAATGAAGTGAAAATAAAATGGTTTAAGCTTTTCTTTTAGCTTTTGTTGAACTGTAATTATACTTGCATGTTTCTTTATTGAAGATGATTACAATGATAGTTACATGACAGTAATGATAAAAGTTGTAAGGTGTTTTCAAAATTATATGTTGTCAAAGGTGATTGTAACAGTCACATTAGTGATCATAAAAAGTTATAAGGGCTTTTTTAATAATGTTTGTCAAAGATACTTACAACTACAGTTTGAGCAGTATACACATTGCTGGGGTAATTGACTCATGGTGCATAGATGTGTGCAAGAAAGTGATATGAGGTCAAATGGGTATTCAGATCAGACAATGAAGATGAGCAAATGGAAATTATATCACTAGTTGAGAAGGTCTTAGTAGTAAACTTCAGACCAGCACAATGAAGGTGAGACATTCAAAAAAGTGAAGTGTAGATTGCCACAGAGCTAAATCTACCACGCACTTTGCTGAGGAGAGTAGGATGTGCCATCTTGAGAGGATCTTCTAATGTTGAAGTATTACTGGTGACAATTCCATCATTGTACCATGTCTGACCATTCATATCAATAATCCTTGCAGTGAAATGAAAGCCACCGAAATAAATAATATCACACAAGTGAAATCTTGTGCCTTCTTCACCGATGTACACCATGGAATCTAGCTGAAGTTGCTTACCATTCGCAATGAATGCCATAAAGTTTGGGGTATTGACAAAGACATACCTTCTCACCAGTCTTGTGTGGCAGGTTTGGCATGACAACTGAGTCTTTCTGAGAAAAAGAGCTTGCAGCCACTCTGATAGCTTTTTGTTTTTTTTTGAGGAACCTAACTTAGCAGAGAATTCTCTTCAGATGGGCAAACTGCAGTCTCATAGATAAATGGAAGTGTCTTCTGTATTCACATCGACATTGCAGTGGAGGCAGTGAAGATGGACAATAACGTTGAAGGATAAAAACTCAAACATAGCAGAACACAAACTGTAGATGTCTGTGCCTTCTTTTCTCATGGCAGGAAATGTCGTGGGGTGTGCAATCTGCAATTCTGCATGAATAGCATCTCTTGCAAGTTCCATAGAATGTTTACCGGTGAGTACCTCTGTGAAGATATTAGTGAACTTGTGAAGAAAGTCATTCTGGTTCTTGACGGTATCATTCCATTGCTGTGGACAATCTGTGAACACCTTGAGCAGTATAGAGAAAAGGCTATCATATGGTGCAACTGTAGTTGTTCTCATTTCATATAAAACTGACAGGGCTTGAGTATAATGAAAGGGGTGAAGCGGTCCTCATCTTTTTGTCATCGAGGCCTGTTTTATCGCTGACATGCATGCACTTTTTCTTTTTTCCACCTTGGTCATTGCTAACAGTGAGCAAAGCTTTTGTTCCCTTAGCAGGCAGATACCTATACATGAGTTTAAATTTTTCTTCAGTTTATCCTGTGCTAGTGAGTTTTTTTGCATCATCACTACATCTAGTTGGTTTACTGACAATTTGCCAGGGACTGTCAGGCTCTGGGTCTTTGTTAGACCACTTAAGAGACCTATGCATTGTTTTGGGGATATACTGGGTCCCTTTCCATGATCTATAGGATACTATGAGAGGATTTCTGATTACACCTTGAACTATGTCTGGCAACTCCTTATTATATTGAAGGGTTGTGATCTCGTCCAGAAGTTCAAGGTCTCTAAATTCTTGCCTGAGTGAACTGGAGATGCCCCTCATCAGTTTATGGTCATCAAAGCCTTGAACAATTATGGTCCCTTCATATGTCAATCCCCTAGAAAGGCACATGTATATGGACTGGTGAGACCTGCAGTTTTGAAGATCACACACATTGTTGGAGTTTGCTGCTTTTGCCTCATATTCTCTCTCAAAATCACCACAGTGGTGAACTGATGCCAAAGTGCCTTGCCTATGGATGATTCTTGTTCATAATGACTGCTGGTGGTGTGCAGTACTGATCTTACTTTATGGGAGTACAATGAATGTCCTGAACCCTCAGGGAGAAGCTGTGCAAAGTCTCCTGAAAAAATCATGTTTATTTCTCTGAACAATTTTCCCTCTTTTTTTATCACTGAGCACATCCTCGAGCATATTTTGTACAAGTTGTGACAGTCCACCATTGACACCTCATCTAAAAAAATATACTTGACACACTGAAGATGTGCTCTCACTTGAAGGAGGCTGGCGACTGATTTTGAAGTATACTTGCTCATTCCTAGTATAGAGTGGTATGTTGAGCTGGCAATCAAAGTGGCAGCAGATCCAGTTGGGGCCATATGGAGAAATCAGTAACCCTCTTTTTATTCGTTGATGAAGTAAATCAATGCCTTTATGACCTGAGATTTACCTGTTCCTGCCATCTCACTGAGGTACATCTTTAACTGTTCTCCACTGGGATCTGTGGCATGATTGGCAACAATTCTGAATGCATGTTCCTGTTCTTTGTTTAGATTGAAGAGGCTGCTAGTATCGTCGATGAGCTTTTGGTCTTTTTGCTCTTTCACCTTGAAATCCTTCTCCAGATAAGACATGTCAATCACTTTGATCACATCTACATATTTCTCTACTGCAGCTCCAGTTGCCTTGTCAACAACATTGTTTATAACTGCTTGATCGGTCTGACACTGTATGATTTCTTGCTTTCAGTCAGCAAGAAGTGATCGCCACCCCGAAGCTGTGTGGCCCTTTCTGTCACAAAATGCAGTAGACAGTAAATGTTCTTCCACAGCATCACAGCCTTCAGGAAGATTGTCCATCCATCCAGAAGTGTGCATGATATTTTCACGTGCATCATGTGCACCAAGCACAATTGAGCTTTAGTTTTCAAGTTATCCCACTCAGAAACATTGCCTGGAATGTCATAGTCTGCCATAACCATTATCTTGTCTTCAGTAACCATCATCGAGTGCCTCCATATCATCGTTGTTCATGTCAAATGGCATACCCCCAATTTTTGTGCCTGCTTTTCTTAACTTTGCAAAATTGTCTCTGTCATCATTACACTCATATCTGATGTGCATATAGTCCATGACCTGTCTCTGTCTGTCAGTAAAATGATGCTGCTCAAACCCCTCATTCTATGACATCATACGATCAGGTTTAAGGTCTTGTCCTGACCTCCAGGGCTTGAATAAGGTTAGCATGGTCATGCAGTACTCCTCTCAGTTGCCGCTGTCTCTACGAGGCAGTGCATCACTGATGAAATTGGGAATCATGCTCCCATCCTCGAGCAGCAACCTTACTTCCTTAGATGAATATTAAGGGTGAGCATGTAAAAAGCGTGCAGGTTCGAGTTGACGGTCAGCAATATGTGCCTTCTCATCTGCCTGAAATGTCTTTGCATTATGAGAGGTGAGCAGCAGCTCATCATCGTCGTCACTCTGTTCTTTACAACCTTCTTCTTCATTGGAGTAGATTACCTCAGAAGGGCTTTCTTCATTCTTTTCCTTTTCAAGCACAATCTTATCTTCACTTTCTTCATCCCTCATGCTGCAAACTGACATTTGGTGCAAAGATGATCTGAGAAGAAGTTCATCCTCTTCATCTTCAGGCTCTAGGCATTGTTGTTCATCATCGATGAATGGTCGCATAGACTTTGAGAACAAGTTACAATCAGAAGCATCATTTACAAACTTCTGTGACTCTTTCTTCGCTCACCGTATCCAATCATACAGGCATATTCCATTAAAGATAGAAGGTCTATATATGTAATCATCTATGGCAGAGAGCAGTACAAACTTGCCTCGAGTTTGACTCAATATGACTTTTTCCAGAGCCTCTGAATCAGTGAATATCTTTGCTTCGGCAGTTGAATTCTCATTCTCCCAGGCTGTACATACTTCTCTCATGAAACTTTTCCACATGCATACATTGAAAGAGTAGTTCATGTAGTGATTTTCCTGCTTCAAGAGATACAAACAGGTTACCAGTCCACTGATCTCCACACCAGCCGTCAAAGCATTAACAATTTTAATCAACAACATGCAGCCTTTCTGTATTCTGTCCATGTTCCTGGTGATAAAGGTCTCACTTCTATCAGATACCTTGCAGACTGTCTCAAACATTACGTGCATTTTCAGAGGAGTCTTCGTGATGTAGTCAGTTACATAAGCGATAACTGATTTGATCGCAGTTCTTGACATGAGACTTGTGACGTCCGTGTTGCATTAAAAAAGATACGTAACAACTGAAGTGAGTGTGTTAATCCATGCTTCACCCTTCTTCATATTGAGAGCTCCTGTTTCAGGATCGACTGTGGTTTCTGTATAAGTTGTTTGATGAAAATGGGCCTTGCAGGTCACGTACTTGTTACGCTTGCATTCGTGAAGACATCAATGATGATTTGAGAGATAAATGAGCTCATCCACCTCAAGAGACTGTTTGTTCCACCATTTCCCCTAGGTGGTGCACTTTTAACAGTTGTGGCAGTTTTTTTTCCATACATCAAACAGGCATGGGTCTGGGCAGGGTAAGTGTAGGGGGAACATGTCCTTCCTTTGCATTCAACTTATTAATGTGCTAGTGAATGTCCTCCATTGTTCTGTTCTGAAATTCCCCTACATGTACGCTTGCAAGGTATTCTACTGAATGTCACGGTAACACCGAACAAGAGATCAAAAAGACAAAAAGGGACAGTCACGTGAAACGTGTCACCCTGATCTCCCTGATCCCAAACGTATCCCCCTGAACCCTATGTGGCACAAGAGCCTGTTGACTTACTGGTCGATGTGGCAGCTACAGGAAGGGGTGAGAGATATATGAAGGAGCTGGTGAGCTCAGTGAGTGCTACAGGTAGTAGATGAGGAGAAACAATCTGAAGTTTCGTCCTCTACATGGCTGGTCTTATATACACATACAGCGGGCTATCTTACCTAAGCTACCTATCTATGGGTATAAGCAAATGGCCGTACATGGGACAATAGGATGTCCGAAAGTAGAACAATAAGTGGGAAGATCGATGGTTGCTGCAGTAATGCATGTGCACATCATGCCTATCTTGGATTCCCTTTTGTTCTCCGATGTGAACATTGTGCCTATCTGGGCTTCTGGCTAAACGAATAGGAAGCGGAAGGCCGATGTATAACAATAGTCCTTGTTCCCTTTGTTTCCAAATGGGTGCCTCTATTGTGTCCTGGAATAGACAGGTCCGACCGTATCATCCACGGGTCTGGACCATAACATGTGATGTGAGCTATCACCTGATCTCTACGCATCACGTCTGTGGCTGAGTGGCATGAGATATTGGTGAAGCACGTGATCTGTGGTGTGAGCAAAGTCACGTGCAGACTTTGTGGCAAAAATCTGTGACACTACCCCCCTCTCAAGGCTCATTGTCCCGAGGAGCCAAAACCTTTATTTCCCCTTCTAGTTGCTCGCAACAGTTGGTAACTTTGGGAGGGAAGCCCTTCGGCATAATATTCGAAGATTATTTGGGCTATCCTGTCTCCCGGTTTAACCGAAAATACGAAATCTGTTGTATTGATCAGTACGACCTTGAGTTCTCCAGTGTAATCTGGGTCCACGACTCCTGCGCCCACGTCGATTCCTCATGCAGCCAGTCCGCTGTGTGGAGCTATTCGTGTATAGGTGTGTTTTGGAGGGTCAATTGCGACTCCCGTTCCTACCACAGTTCGTGAATGTGGAGGGATTTTATGCATTTCTGCTGCATAAATATCCCATCCTGCTGCTTCATTCGAGGATTTCTTCAGTGATTTGGCAAATTCTGTCATTTTATGATATAGAAAGAACTCATCCGGATGGTCAGACATGTTGATTCTGTGTGTGGAGATTGGTGCAACTTCATATGAGGATAATTCGAAGCGTTTTCCACCAAAAGTGACGACCCTGATTGGTGCTTTGGCTGCATCTGGGTTTTGCTGGTGGAATTCTTGAAGAAGCTCGTCGGCATTGGTAAGATTTGTTCGGGGTTCCCATTTATCATCGGAATGGTCATAGCCTTTCCATTTGACGAGGTATTGGACCCTTCCCCTTACAACCTTCGAGTCTAGTATTTCCTCAACTTCGAATTCTGGTTCTCCTTCGATTTCTATGGCTGGGGGCTTTGGGGGTTCGCGGTTTGCAACCGTGTCTTGATGGTACATGATCAACTTGCTAGCATGGAAGACTGGGTGGACCTTCATTTGCTTAGGCAGTTCCAGTTTAAATGTGACTGGGCCTAGCTTCTGAAGTACTTTGTAAGGTCCGAAGTTTTGTGTGCCTAGCTTCGCGGACTTGACTTTTACTCTGAGATCCTTTCCCTTGAGTAAAACTAGATCTCCGACTTTGAATGGGACTTCTCCCTTTTTCTCATCGAAGTACCATTTCATCCGTGAAGCTGAAACTTCCAATGCTGCCTTCGCCTGTTCTTGTGCCTCGGATCGGTGGGCGAATAGATGTTCCAATGAGGGATGACATATTGATTCGTGTATGTCTGGTGCCATTTTTGGATGTCAGCCATATTCGACAAAGAATGGGGAAAGTGTGGTGGATTTATGGGTCTGGTTGTTGTATGAAAATTCTGCTGTCGGCAGGTAATAGACCCAATCGTTCTGTCTATGGTTACAGTACATTCGCAGATACTGTTCCAACACCTGGTTAACCCTTTCTGTCTGACCGTCTGTCTGGGGGTGATATGCAGTGGACATTGTTGACTTTATACCAAGCTTCTGGCAGAACTCCTGGAATAGTTTGCTCGCAAACTGAGTACCTCTGTCTGAGATAATCTGGCGTGGCAATCCGTGAAGTTTGAAGACTTTGTTATAGAATACGTTAGCGACTTGCGATGATGTGACTGTATCATCCGTTGCATAAAAGTGCGCTCGCTTCGTGAGTCTGTC